TGCTTCTTCTCTCTCTTAGCTAGACGCTTCGTCTGCTTCGCAATTGCAGCCTCATACGAATAGTCCGGCTCTTGGGTAAGATGCAAACCCCCAAATACGCCCCGACACTCGCGGAAATTACCATTCGCTCTTTGCGCATCTTCAAATTCCGCATAAAGAGGCACAAACCGCTCGCGCCGAGCCATCAACTCCGCAGCAACCTCTCTTTTGCCTGCCTTACGAGCACGGCGAGCCATCGCGTCGGAAAGTTCCAAGCTTCGACGGGATTCAGCTTCATATTCTTCTCTCACGCGAGCGGCCTCCTTTGCAGCCAAATCCTGGGCACGAGAGAAACTTGCATCGATCTCCTCTCTGATACGAACAGCCTCCGCCTCTGCTGCTGCAGCCCTGGATTCGGCCCTGCGAAGCTCCGCACTATTCGCATTCACCGCCTCGCTCATAAAGCGAAGACTCTGCGAAACAGAACAAACATCCTTCATAAAAACGTACATACATAATCATAAAAAAGAATAGACAAACCTTGTTGAAAAGCCTCGACGCTTTCGCAAACGGTGTGTCAGCTGGCCCTCGGGATGACGTCTCAGCCGTATCAAATTCGGAGGGCGAAAAATCAATAAGATCCTCGATATCAAAATCTTCGATAGATGCCCGACCATGGTCGACCGGAACTTCTCTATCTTGCGGAGATCTAGATCTTTCCCTCTCCTCCGCACCATCGTCCACCTTGAGATCGGCATGAACATCGCAAGAAAAACCGGACGAATAATAGGCGGTGGCACGACGGTTCCTTTTCGGAGAAAAAAATCCCCAATGAAGCGGGCCACCGCGCAGAAGATTCATAACCTTCGGAAAATCTTCAAGCATCGGAACCGGAAGCGCGGGCACTGCGAAAAAAAACGAAAAAGTTAAAACCTATATTTACACAGATATGGGTATCACGTTGATGAAATACCGTTTGTCACCCGCGCAGCCCTAATCATAGGAATACAACTCTCCTCCACCGATTCATTGTCGATTTTGACATAAAAGAAACGGTGGATCCAGTCGTGATCATTCGAGGCAAACCCGCCGACAACCGTCATGCCCCGTCGGGGGGCTAAGTAAAAACCATCCTTCCTCACCTTGAATGTCAATATAGACAAAAGATAATCCGCGTCGAGGGACATACCACGTTCATATCCCAACACCAGAATCCCGATAAGGTGCTGTAGGCCTTTAGGGCATAGTTGGCCGAATGGTACTCCAAACCTATCCAAGAATTCGAAAACGGCCCGAGGAATAGGGAACCATAGATGGCAGGTTAGCAAAAAGGCTTCATAGCACGTAAAATAACCCGAAGGCGGATTCTCGGCACTCATACCCTCGACAGGGATGCAAAGCTGAACCGACTCGGGGATCGCACAGGTATTTTTCAAATATTTGAGAGAACCAACGGTGCTCGTGCTCTTGCCAACCGCCCTCTTCCGGGGATTATTTCTTTTCGGAACCCAGAAAGTCGAAGGCGGCACCTCCGCGGCCCTCACGGCTGAATAGTAGTCTGCGAACTCTTCCTTAGTCGTAGAGAAACGTCGAAAGACCGGCTTGGGGAGAGAACAGCCGCTGGGAGTATAAAGGTCGCTCGGATCAAAGATTGATGCATGAGCATTATCTGAAACTTTCCGTCCGAAAGACTTGTTGGATAATCAAAAGAAAAAATGATCTAAAGGAAAAAAGTAGAGAGAAGTCTTTCTAAAACTTAAGCAAGTTATGGAGGAATGAATGAAAAATGTACAAAACTCACTCCATATACTTATAGGAAAGAAATTTACTATTCACCTTTGGACTTTTGGCCATTAAAGTTCCGCCTAATTCCACCAAACTCGCCAAACTCGCCAAACAAGCTCAATCCACTCGCAAGAATCTCACGATTCTCACGAGCTGGGGGGCTAACTGTTGGGGTCAAAATCAGTACGACGGAATTAATAGCCAAAACTCTCCGCGAAAATACAAAAAGAACAGTTTTATAAGACTCGAGAAATCGTTTTATAAAACTCGAGAATCGTTTTATAAAACTCTAGAATCGTTTTATAAAACTCGAGAAATCGTTTTATAAAACTCGAGAACTCGTTTTATAAGACTCGAGAAATCATTTTATAAAGCTCGGGAAAACATTTTATAAAACTCGAGAATCGTTTTATAAAACTCGAGGAATGGTTTTATAAAACTCGAGGAATCGTTTTATAAAACTCGAGAATCGTTTTATAAAGCGCGAGAATCGTTTTATAAAGCTCGAGAATTATTTAATAAAACTCGAGAATCGTTTTATAAAACTCAAGAATCATTTTATAAAACTCGAGAATCGTTTTATAAAACTCGAGAAATCGTTTTATAAAACTCGAGAAATCGTTTTATAAAACTCGAGAATCGTTTTATAAAACTCGAGAATCGTTTTATAAAACTCGAGAATCGTTTTATAAAACTCGAGAAATCGTTTTATAAAACTCGAAGATCGTTTTATAAAAATCGAAAGATCGTTTTATAAAACTCGAGAAATCGTTTTACAAAAACCGCAAAAAACCGCAAAAACCAAAAAAGCCGTAAAACGCGAACTAGTCGCAACTAGTTCGCCGATGGGCGAACTAAGAAGCACTCTCTAGTTCGCCCATCGGCAAACTAAGCCGGGCCCGGCTTAGTTCGCCGATGGGCGAACTAGGACATGCTCGACTAGTTCGCCCATCGGCGAACTAAGCCGGTCCCTGCTTAGTTCGCCGATGGGCGAACTAGAGACTTCCCGGACACTCCGCGTCTCGATTTCCCGCATTCCCGATTCAAAACTTACGTCTTTCGACAAAGTCGCATTCTAAACCACGGCCAAAATATCTCCGTACCAACTCGATCCGACTTACCGTTCGAGTTTTACGATAAAAACCGTAAAACTTCGTTTTCTCCGAAAGAACTCGAGGAAATCGTATAAAACGGAAACGATTAAACGAAACACCGAGCATTGCCTAAACTATACGATTTATTCAAGATTTCTCGTTGAAATCATAAAAAACACGCTTTTAATAAAAAACGCCGAGTAAGTCGTAAAAAACGTGTTTTTAATAAAAAGTCGAGTAAATCATAAAACTTTGCGATTAACTCGAGAAATTTATTAAAAACGACGTCAGATCGGGAAACGATCCCGTAAAAGTCAGAAAACGGTTTTTATCGCAAAACGGCCCGGAAGGACCTAAAACGCGATAAAAACCCATCTCGCGATTTCAACGGAATCAAACCCGCAGATTTGATAACATTTTGACGGTTTACTCGCAGAAAGAAAATAAAAGTCAAGTTTAAACATAAAAGGAAGGTTTGAAGAGAAATAGAAGATTTCCGCAGAAGAAAAGGAAGGATCGAGAAGAATGGAAAATTCCCGATTTAGTAAATCTGGGCAAAATGGAAAGATCGGATAGCCAAGACAAGGAGTATATAAAGAGAAGGTCTAGGGCAGAAGCACACACGCGAAATTCAGAGCTCTCACCACCAAAACTAGCATTTAGGAATCTTTCCGTTTTTCTGTTAACGAGCTGCGTCTCAATTAGGGTTTTCTAGTTCTTACGTTTTCGGCTACTCTCTTTGTACCAGTTCAACGCAGATTCGGAATAAGAACCTTCTTGCTTTCATCTCGCTTATTTTCGTTTTAATTCTAAGTGTTTTCGTCATCTTAATCTTTGTTGTGCGGTTCTCGCAGATAGCCGGTTCCTCTGGAAACCTAGGGTTTTCCCGAAGTTTCCTTATTTACGATTTATTTGACAGTAGGGTGAAATCGACTCCCACAGAGCTTCTGAAGGTTGTCTAGCTGTGCTTGAACTTCATTGATGTACTCCTTCCCAATGGATGATGTAGTCTGCGTCACAGAGTTCTTTGTGCTGTTGCTGGAAGCCAAGTTATCAATTAGCTTGATAGCATTCTGCGGATTCCTGGTGTGAAGTTGCCATCACTAGCTATATCAAGGGCTCTCTTGAAATATGGGCTGATGCCTCTGTAGAAAGTGCAGAGCAGTTGCACTTTGTTGAATCCGTGGTATGGGCAGTCTCGCTGGTAGGATTTGAATTTGTTCCAAGTATCCTTGAATGAGTCTTCAGGGTCTTGCACTACAAAAAAAAGGGGATATTGTTATAAATTTTTGAGACTAAAATTTTCAGTCACATATTTGTTACATAACAGAGACTAATTTATTACTTATATTTTACGTTACAAAAAAGTAGCTTCTTTGTCACAATATCGTGACTGGTTTTTATGTAACAAAATTTTGTCACAATTAGTGACATATATAAGACAAAAATAAATGTAACAACTATTGTGACAAAATTGTGACTACGTTTAATGTTACCAATATAACGAATTAGTGACTGAATCTTGTGTCGCCGTTTATGACCATAGACGGACTAAATATTTGTCACACATTCCTACGAAACAATGACAACAAAAAATAGTTGTAAGTTGTGACTTTAAAATATAGCTATTAAGTTACAATAGCTGGTTTCGCTACACTATACAAACGTCTCGTTTGATGGCATGGTCTCTCATCTTGTTCAAGATGTCAAGGATAAAGGAAAATTTGTACACCCTCACGTGGATATATAAGCCACGATTTGCTTTGCTTGGCACCCTTCCTTACGTTTATTTTTGCTTAGAAAACAACCTTACGTTTTTTGATCAAACAAAAAAAACAACCTTATGTTTATTGTCTACGTGTTCAAGTGATCTGGAAAGTGTCACCAGCAAAGACCCACGATGCGGATAACTAGTGTTAGATTTCTGTAACTTTGGTTTAATTTTTTTTTTTCAGAACTGGATATAAATAAATAAAATTACTAGTAAGACATCTAAATTATATACATAGTTCGGAGTACATAATTAATTAACCATGTAAATAGATTGCACATCAGGAGGATGTTTCGCACTGTTTTTCTGAGAGCAAAAAGAATTAAGCAACCAAAAACATTTTAGATCATTCAAAAGGACTCTTCTCTCTCTTAAAGTGTTGCAAACAGTAGAGCAGAAGAAGGATACATGTTTGTGCCCATACCGAGCCTACGACCAGTCTCCTTACCAATGGCGAGCTGGTCACCAGTGATCATCTTGACATTGACACCAAGGTCAAGAGCACGTCTGATTGTCTCTGCACTGTCATGTCTTGGAGGGTCAAAGAGTGGTAACAGACCAAGAAACTGCCATGGCTCTCCAGGGCTGTTTTTTTCTTTCTCAGAGACAGTCTAGTGATAGCCAAAAGATGAAATGAACATTACAATAAAGAAAGAAACATATACTTGTAGTTTGGGATTAGCACTAAAAGCTTTTTTACCTGTCTGCCAACAGCAAGAGAACAAAGTCCTCTGTCAGAAACCTTGTCAATGATGTCATGAGCTCTCTTCTTTGTATCCTCTCTAAGGTTACAGAGCTCAATGATCTACAGATTACAGAGAACAATCAGTGTGAAAAGAGCTTAAAAACTCTTTGAGAGAAGAAGAGTATGCATTTTCTTACTTGCTCTGGTGCGCCTTTGCTGACACTGTGCCATTTTTCATTAGCATCAATGTAATTGATAGCAGTACGCTTATCCACAGGGTTAAAAGGAAAGAAATGGACTTCAGTGATACCCACTCTTGCTTCTCTAGGATCTCCAAGCATTCCCACAATACAAGCATCAATAGCATCCTGGTTCTCAACTCTAGAGGCTCTTGCTGCATTCACAAGAAGCTGTTCCTTGTCCAAATCTTTGACAAAAAGTCAAAACCTCAACCATACTCTTGTCAACAGTAAGCTTGTTAAGTGTAAGAGTTCCGGTCTTGTCACTACATCTTGAGAAGTATGCCTCCAACCAAAATCAATGGGTCATTTCGTCATAGAACACTGGGCATGGATTGATCTTTGATACATAAATCACACCCCTGCCGTCCAACAGTAAACACAGGGCCTTTCATGACACGATGAGGGTTCTGAAACCGTAAATAAACAACATGATCAACTAATGTGCATTGTCAGCTAAACCTACTAAACACCCTAATGAAAAACAAGTGAGGCACCTGTGGGTACTGAGAAAGAAGCTTAGCCCAAGGAGCCTTATTCCGCTTCTTCCCAGAGGATTTAGACTTCTTAGCTTGAGCCTCAACTTCACCTGTGGGCGTTGGCGTCACCAAGCCTTCGACTTGTTGGTTTATGTCGGTATCATTACAATTCACCATCGGAGGTGCATCGGCTGTAGTAATCGGAACAGGATTTTGATCAGAAGTTCTCAGCTCCTCTCCAGATTCGGATCCAGGAACAGGATTTTGATTCTCAATCAGTACATCACTCACCGACGAGGACCCTGCCGGTTCCGCCGTCGCCTTTTAACAGAAAATTTCTTTTTTTTTTAACTGGAATTAATTTCCTTATTAAAAAAAAACATTGTTGGACAAAAGAAATTTCCGGATAAACACCAAAACTAAAAGGAAAAAAGTATATTTTATATATGTATCTATATCCATATTATATATACATCGAAGATAAAAAAGAACTGATAGCAAATCAATTCATCATTCTTCTCTTAACCTGAGCTTAGATTATAAATTCAGCCACTCCATCATCCATCGAGTTAACTTTTGCAGTTTTGTATTGATATAATTGTCATCTCTTTTTCTTTTGGTGAGTTATTGATATATGTGACTGATACTTTTTCTTAAGTTTATGTTTTTCTTATCGTGTCTTCTTGAAGCAAAACCTAACTATATTTCTTTACAGATATTTGATGTCGTCTACTAACGATATTAAAATATTAAGAAGATGGATGTATGAAAGAATCGATCATACAACTAATCAAGTCTCAGAAGAATTTTATCAAGGATTAAGGAATTTTATACAATTTGGAAAGAATCAAGAGCTTTTTGTTGAAAGTGGGAAGCTGTTTTGTCCATGTTGGAAGTGTGAGAACGGAAAATTATTACAAGAAGAGATTGTTTCAAAACATCTATATAATAGAGGATTTATGCCTAATTATTGGGTTTGGATTTCTCATGGAGAAGATTATGATATTCGAAATAATCATTCTGAAGGTTTAGATGATTTTATAGATGGTGGTGAAGATCCCTTGCAAACTGATACCGCTACGGAGCCAGTTAATCCTTATGTGGCTATGGCTTCTGATGCTTTTCCCCATATGGAAGAAGAACCGAATGCTAAGGCAAAGAAGTTTTACGATATATTAGATGCTGCAAAACATCCCATATATAATGGGTGTAAAGAAGGTCTTTCGCAATTCTCATTAGCATCTCGACTCATGAGTTTGAAGACAGATTATAATCTGCCTCAAAACTGTATGGACTCAATTTCTCAGATGATGCAAGATTATTTACCTGAAGGCAACAATTCGATGAATTCATACTATGATATAAAGAAGCTTATGCGGTTGTTGGGTTTGCCTTATCAGAAAATTGATGTTTGTCGAGATAATTGCATGCTATTTTGGAAGGATGATGCGAAAGAGGAGATGTGCAAATTTTGTAGGAAAGATAGATTTCGACCTATTCAGAATCCTGGGCAGAAAAAGGTTGCATATCAACAGATGTTTTATTTGCCGATAGCTGATAGACTACAAAGACTATTTCAATCAGGTAAAACCGCAAAACATATGAGATGGCATGCAGAACACACATCGAATGCTGGAGAAATGTGTCATCCCTCAGATGGAGAAGCATGGAAACATTTTAATAAGGTATTCCCTGCTTTTGCTGATGAACCAAGAAATGTGTACCTTGGATTATGCACAGACGGATTCAGTCCATTTGGTATGTCTGGACATAACTATTCTTTGTGGCCTGTTATCATGACTCCTTATAATCTACCACCAGATATGTGCATGAAACAAGAACTTATGTTTCTAACAATTCTTGTTCCGGGTCCAAATCATCCGAAGAGAAGTCTGGATATTTTTCTTCAACCCTTGATAGAAGAGTTAAAGGATTTGTGGATTAATGGTGTTTACACATATGATATTTCTACCAAGCAAAACTTTCAGTTACGGGCAGTACTTATGTGGACAATCAGTGACTTCCCTGCTTATGGTATGCTTTCCGGATGGACAACTCATGGTCGACTGGCATGTCCTTACTGTATGGATCAGACCGATGCATTTCAGTTGAAAAATGGTAGAAAAACCAGTTGGTTTGATTGTCATCGACGTTTTTTACCGACTGATCATAGCTATAGGAGGAACAAGAAGAACTTCAAGAGAGGAAGGGTTGCCGTTGATGGTCCACCAGAAATACTTACAGGCGAGGAAATCTGGAATGAAGTCAAGCAGTTGCCAAAAACAGTTGGTTGTGGAGGAAATCATGGGAAATTAAAAGGATATGGTGAAACTCACAATTGGCATAAGCAGAGTATATTTTGGGAGCTACCATATTGGAAAGACCATAAACTTCGTCATAATCTTGATGTGATGCATATCGAAAAGAACTTTCTCGATAACATCATCAATACTTTGTTGAATGTGCAAGGGAAGACAAAAGATAAGATCCAATCAAGACTTGATTTGGCTGAGTATTGTAATCGCAAAGAGCTGCATTTGACAGCTGATGGAAAGGCACCAGTCCCCATTTTTAGACTACACGGCGATGCAAAAACAACTTTTCTGAGATGGCTCGAAAAAGATGTTAAATTCTCTGATGGATATGCATCAAGTTTATCCAAATGTGTTGATTTATCAAGTGGGAAATTAACAGGAATGAAAAGTCATGATTGTCATGTTTTAATGCAACGACTACTTCCAATTGCATTTGCCGAGCTGATGGATAAATCTGTTCATGAAGCACTATCAAGTAAGTATTTTCTCTATTAAAATTTAAAATTACTACTAAAAATAAATTTAAGTGCATAATCTAAATTTTAACTTCTTTTGTTTATAGGTGTTAGTTTGTTTTTTCGTGATATTTGCGCAAAAACTTTACACGAAGACAATCTTGCAGTATTGGAGAAGAACATTGGTGTGGTTCTTTGTAATCTGGCAAAAATATTTCCTCCCTCTTTTTTTGATGTTATGGAACATTTAACCATTCATCTAGCACACGAAGCTAGACTTGGAGGACCTGTGCAGTTTAGATGGATGTATGTTTTCGAACGTCAAATGGGACATCTGAAAAAAAAAGTAAATAATAAAGCAAAAGTTGAAGGTTCTATCGTTGAACAATATGTCAACGAAGAAATTTCTACTTTTGGTACTTATTACTTTGAGCTACATATCAAGACAAAAAGCCGAAGAGAAGATCGGCACTACGATGGGTGTAGTCATGTAGATTCAAACCAGAACGGTGAAGTGCCAGATATTTTTAATCAGCAAGGAAGAGGAAGTGGTAAAGAAAAAGAAATATGGCTTCAAGATAAAGACTACCTTATCGCGCATACATATGTTTTACTGAATTGCGAACAAGTAAGACCATATGAAAGGTAAGTATTATTATAAAAATACATATATTAATTTATATTTACATAAACTTCAATAGAGTAACACATCTTTAAGTTTTATGATTTTTTTTGTAGGTTATTTGATGAGAGTATGACTGCTTCGTATCCTGGAATAAGTGAAAATGATCTAAATCAGCTTAAAGCAAAAGACTTTGCAAAGTGGTTAGAAAAGCATGTAAGAATTTACAAAAATTCAATACTCTTATATTTTTCATAATTTAATTTATATTAATCTAAATTTTTGTCGATATATTAGGTGGAGAACAATAAGATTAATACTCCTTGGTTACAAAGTCTTGCACATGGTCCTATGACAAAAGTTACTTGTTGGCCAGTATACTTTTGTAGGGGATATATATTTCATACATATGACCATGGAAAAGATAAGACTAGTGCCAATTACGGAATTTGTATTAAAGATATAACATCTCAAGGATCAAGCAGAGAACCTGATTTCTATGGAGTATTACAAGAGATTTTTGAGCTCCATTATCCAGGACCGGTTCATCTTAAAGTTGTGCTTTTTAAATGTGATTGGTATGATTCAACAATTGGAAAAGGTATACGGGTGAACAAGTCTGGGATTATTGATGTTCATACTGGTAAGCGTTATGGAACATATGATCCATTTATCTTAGCTTCACAAGCAGATCAAGTATGCTATGTTCCATATCCACGAATAACTCAGAAGAGAGATTGTCATTGGAAAGCAGCTATCGTGATTCAACCAAGGGGGAAAATATTGATGAATCAAAATTTTGATTCCTCTGCAATGCAACATAGTGATGATAATTCAGTTGTTTCTACTGATCTACTACAAGTCGAAACATTAGTTAATTTACATGGTCAAACTGAAAATCTTGAAGATGTAGAAGAAGAAGAAGCAGGATTAAGATCAGATGTTGAGGATGAAAATAATTATTACGAGTTAACAGATGAAGAATCTGACTAAATTTGGTGTCATAGTTTTATTTTTTATATGATAAACACAGTCTTATGATATATTCTGAATTACTCTTCTCTGATTTACAATGTATATAGGTAACAAACTCAACTATATCTGTAACAGGTTCAAGAACAACACTGAAATATCAACACGTGTAAGGAAAATCATTGAAGGATGTTTTAGAGGACCATGGTACAGCTGGAGAAAAGTACCCCAGTTTTACAAGGATGCTTGGTATTCAACATTTAAGGTGTGTTTCTATCTTTTTTTAATATTCAATACATTATCCTTTCATTCACTCTAAAGTTGTATTTTTCAGGACGTTGTTTCATTCATATCCCATTTTTTGTTTGTTTTAATAACTCTAAGTGCATTGTTTTGATTGTAGACTAAGTATGAGTGGCATGCTTCCATCGAAGATCTTGTGAAAGCTAACTTTGATGAACTAGCTGCCACTCGCCTCAAAGGAATGGTGAGCCTTGCCAAATCCAAAGGAGAGAAACCTGACTGGATTCTTTCAGAATATTGGAGCATAATGTCAGACTACTGGAAGACACCAAAATCCAAAGAAAAAAGTGAGAAAGCTCGTTGAGCTCGTATGTTTAATCGTGATGGTTTAGGTCCACACAGCCACAGATCAGGCTCACGTTCCTATGCCAAAGTTCAAGATAATCTGGTAGTGTATATATTATTTTACTCAAAAAGAATTTCTTTTTACTTTTAAACTGAGTTTACAGCTTATGTTAATGGGTTTTTAGGTGGCAAATAACGAAGACTCTTCCTTCATTGCTGTGATGA